TTCGTACTAAACTTGAAAACGTGAGGAAGGGAGCATTCACAGATAGTACCAATTTATGAACTTAGAGGGAGTAAGTTGTTATAGGTTATATTATTATTTATAGATCACGTGACCATTTACGTTTGAGACGACGGAGATAGTAATATTATAATAATATCTTATTGGTGAACTTGTTTTGGGAAATAAAAATTTGTATTTTATACTATACGATGTAAAAATGTTTTTTTTGAATTTTGTTAAATTGTTTTTTTGTACGCAATTTTTTTTTTTTTATTCACATTTTGTATTATATGTTAATTGCATATACAATAAACAATTATTAGTAAAAATTTGTTTATAAAAACCAAGAAAATATTAAAATACATTGTGCAAAACCAAGTGATGTGTGATAATGGTATGTTCCCAGGGTAAATGATGAATATTTTTCAGCAATAAGTATGCTTATTATAAAAGCCGTCAAAAATAAGGAAAAAGTTTCGAGAGGTATAGCAAAGACAACTTTAAATTCAAAGAAGCATATTATTTCACAACGTTTTATAGACATGAAATGTCTCCATATACAAAAGGGCTTGGTTAACTTTTAATTTTATTTGCCTAACCGGAATGACAACGGTGAAGACGTTTCTGCAGATGGCAGTCATTCACAAGACCTATTGAAAATAAGTCCCGAGTTCAAGTGCTAGTATTACTTCCGTGTACTATACTGTTTCCGCGTATCCTAGCGTATATATTATATTGGGGTGAATGGTTGTGAATCTTCTTTTTTCACTCTATCTTATTCTTTTCCCCTATTTACTGATCCCGTGTCGAACGACATACGTATTGTTGAATTTTCGTAATTCCCGAGCTGGCCACAATAATTGCCTTTTTCGGAACAACCTCTAATTTATTATTGCTTATAATGTAGTAAATAGTGGCGGTCACTCGTAAGTATTCAGCCAGTTTTTAACACGGCATTATTTTATTAATATTTTATAGTGAGTAGTTACGCCAAAATGAAAGGTAAATTGTATTAAGGTTAACTCTCTGGAAAACCGTTTTGATATTTAAGACAAAAAATAAAAAAAATAGGTGTTGTATTTTACTGAAATTATAATTTTTATTTTTATTTTTAGTCCAGTAAGTATTACATTTTTGTTTTAAAAAGATTTAGTTAAAGTTCTAAATTTTGAAAAATAAAAATTAAGGGTCAAGGTTTGGGTTTCAATTAATATTCTATAATGTCAGTACTAATCATTTTCAATTATTTATAATTTTTCAATTAAATTATCAGTTTAGTTATTTATAAAATGAATTTATATAAACATTTTAAATACTATACAGATACGTAGTATACAGTTATCATTTTCAAAATAAATAACTTTAAAAAATAAAAAACTAAAATCAAGAAAATTTAAATTTGTGTCTATAATATTTTAATTTAACTTGGGAGTTACCAATGTATTGCGATTTATTTTTATTATTAGACAATTACTGTTCTAAAATTATTATTTTCACGTGCGTTAAGAACTTACACAATAGATTATAAGTAAACGTATGTTTATTAATATTTAATAGACTATAATCATGTTAGTAAATAATTTAACTATTTTTTGTGTTAATGATATAATTAAATAATAATCCTTTTTGATTTTTTAATGATGTTGCTGTTTTTGAGTTATTCCTATTTTTCATGGTAGATTGTTATTTTGTAACTTGATAATATGAGAACATACGGTTATTAGTGAGCTTGTGAATATCACTAAATATAGACTACTATTGATATTCTTATTACTGTTCGATGGTTATAAATTATAATAAATGCCAATTTTTATATGTTTTTAGAATACTTTGATTTTCGTATAGGATTTTGTAATTTTCTTTAATTTAGAATATAATAATTTTAAAATACTAATTATTATGCAAATTAGACTGTACAGTACACAATACTTTATACTAACGGATTTCAGGACTAATATAATATTGTTGTTACCAAACTATTAGCAAGAAGAAAATAGATTTTTGTCCAATCTATGTACTTACGTATTATTTTCTGTATCCACGAAAAAAACATTTGTTTTTGTTATAATTAATTTTTTTCTTTAGAAACTATTTTTCAACGTAAATGGGCTTTAATATAAAAGAGAAATGTTCTAAAAGTATTTAGATTAAATAATAGCAAATTTAAAATATGAAAATTGAAAAATTATAGGTTCTTAAAATCTATACGTATATATATTTTATTGATTTAAAACATATACGCACCAAGAATTTACATTTTACTATATTTTATATTATTTATTAATTTGAGTCTACAAAATCTTGATTATTAAATGCTCATTTAAAATATAATGGTTATAAATATGCACATATTAGTTTGTAGTTAATTTATATATATATATTTTTTTTTTTGATGCACAAACGAATCTAAACGAATCAATATATTGATACATTTTATAAATATAATTTGAACAGGGTATTTAGGTAACAATATTTTGACACTTGAAGAACAGTGACGCTAAAATGTTTTCTCTAGGCACTCATCACCAGTGATAGTCCAAATTAGATAAACACAGTTCTGAATAAATAAATTACCTATTGTAGATCAATACTGATTGTGACCATGGGATGAATATATGCTGCGTAGCGCACAACGTGAAACCTGCCATATGTGGGTGATACGACGTATCCTGTCGTAGGCAGAAAACTCTTTTAGTTCCGAGCATTTCTATAATTTATCATGCAGGTATAGAAACACTTGATAAGCGGAACCTGTCTAATTTAAAACGAAAAGCAATTTGTTGGTCCTCGTGAGCGATATATGGGCGCTGTAATAAGACGGAAAAACGCGTTTTCTACCTGAGTACCTACCAATATAATACGTATTTCGTTATCGAGTTAAAGTTGAGATTTATACTACATACGATGATAATTCTTTTATTTATAAACTTATCGAAAATCACGCGTGCATCATTCTGACAAGTGACAACGTACTAAAACGAGTTTAAAATGTTTAAATTTAAATAACAAAAGAAAAGTCGTTGTTGATTAGTGACAAAGTACGATATAGAGCGTGAAATGGTTAATAGCTAATATATTTGTTTGTGCAAAATTCACAACATAACATATTAGAAATCGTACAATAGTTAGATATGAACTTAAAAAAATATATTACAAATTATTTATTATAAAGAATGTAGAGCGATTTTGGATAAAATAATATATTACCGTAAAGTAACATTTTTTAGAATACGCAAATACTTTATATAATATAATATTGTAACAAACAGCAAATCTACAATAATTAGTTACAAGTAAATTTTAGAAAATAATACATATTTTTTTATTTTACTTACTATAGCATAAACATTTTCCGTTTTTGTCATGATATTATTATTTAAAATAATAAACAAATAATATTAAGTTTTTAAATTAAAATTAATTTATAAGTAAATCGGTACGTTGTTTTTCAAAATAACTTTGCTTTATTGAATTATTTTTTATAATCTGTTTTACAAGAAAATTTGTATTTCTATTTATGAACATTTTATCAGCTTCTTCTACCTTAATATTTATTTATTTATTTATTTTTTTACGCAAATTATTAGAGATAATTATTATGTTATACATATTATTTTAATTTAATTTTATATTTTATCATTTTCTTTTGTGGGGAATTAGAATAGACCTACAGTTACTTCTGATTATCGTGAAAAGCGATTATAAGGAGGTAGCGGAAGGCAGCAGTAATCGTTATTACCGACCACTGGCGAGTTTTAAAGCAGAACTTTCGGCAATAGAAGGATTTGGTGAAGCCACAATGGACATATTTCAAACACTGGATTGTTAACTACGATGTGGAAAGAGAAGGATACTACCCCAAATAACTATTCTAAGTATACAGAATGAGGATTTTATCATCATGAGATTTTGTGATGTCGACTTGAATACAGTAGAAATAATGTATAATATTTGGCAAAATAATAAATCATATTAGTAATTATTATTACATGGGTATTATTTATTTCATTCTAAATTTTAAAATTCATTTATTAAATTTCATAAATTTTTTCTCTATAGTTTAGAAAAAAAATATAATTCGGTTATAATTCTCCTCTATGTTAATTTGATCAAAATATTCTAGCATCTATTATGATCTGTCTTCAATAACACGAAAATTTACTGGGTACACAATAATTACATTTCAAATAAAAGAAACAAGAGGTAAAAATAGCTGATTAGATTGGAGTAATAAAAAACAAAATGTTTACAAATAGTGCACAAATTTTAGGCGAGTTACACATAAATCAATACTAATGGTTACCAAAAGAACATTTTTAAATATTTAAATAAACATTTCTCTAGCTCAAACAGTTTTTTTTCGGATTTGCGCATAAACTAGTACCTTGTAAAATTCTGAAAGTGTCACATAAATTCAAACTTATGGCATATTTATTCTTTACAAAAAAAAAAAAAAAATAAATAAATAATAATAAATAACAATAAATAAATTGAAAATTAGTATTTTTGTGTGCGTTTACTCGTATGTGACAAAATGCCCGTCTGCTATTGGGCGATTTCAAATAACACCAATTTTAATACATTTTTAAACGCCAAAGTGTCTCTGTCCAGTAAGTGCATTGCGTATATATGTTACGGTCAATGATGAAAATTGAATATTTACGTCATTAACCGGTCATTAACGTTAGAAGCCAATTCGCTAGGTTATTTTCGTTAACTACCGGGTAATAACGTCAGTATCTAAGATAATAGGTTATTGTTGTAAATTACAAAATAAAATAAAACAATTTTACCTCAATGACCGAATCTTAACGTTATTAACCATTGACTGTTGGTCAATTATGTAAATAAAAAATACACATTAATTTAATTAATAACAGACTACACTGATTAATATTTATTATTTAATCTTATTAATAATTATTATTATTATTGTTAAATTATAATATTTATTTATATTTATTTTTTTATTACTAATAATATATTATATTTATTATTTATTATTTATTTTCGCAAGGCATGCTGTTGTGACATTTTGAATTACACAATATTCCCGCTGATCGACAAATGCATTTGTTTGTTCTGCACTTTAGTTTGCAATTGCACCTTCTGTAACCTTGAGATCCAGTGACACTATTAAAACCTGCAGCTTCTCTCAGCGTAATTTCTTTTTCGGTATTTACAGATTCCAAATCAACGAATCTTTCTCTGCAAGGATCAATCTGCGATCGAGTATACATATGTTTAATAATGCCGTTTTCCGTACCTAATTAAAGATAAGCATTTATAAATTCAAATAAATATATCTAAATAATATAATTTATAAGTAGGTACCTACCTAATTTATATAAATCGTCTTCAACCTGGGTAATAACTGCTAATAGATTTCGTGGTGATCCACGTGCTCGATCAACATCAGGTATTGAAACCTTAACCGTGGTACCAACCTCTAGTGGACTAAATTTCTTATTTGAAATAGTCATCATTTTTTTGGCTTGTTTTTTAAGGCATTCACTTGATTTATGTCGTTCATTCTGTATTTGCTCATGACGTTGGCAATTCATGCAATTTGTACGTTCATTGTCAGCTTCCAGGGAAATAAAACATGTTTCACACTTTCTTAGGTTTGTATCTAATATATTTAAATAATATATTATTTTTATAAAATGTAATATATAATATTAATTTACCTGTATCTATCATATTTTCTTGCTGCTCTGCAATTGGTGAAACAACTTCTTCAATATTTTGTGCTGAATCTTGTAATCCAGTTTCTTGCGTTTGATTAAACAATTTCTCTATATCTTCTTCTGTTTTTAATGAATTTATTTCATCATTTGGTAGACCAATCGATAATAGTCCTGTTCTGGCAGTACAGCCGAACATGGCCTCATAAGGAGATCTTCCAATACCTTAAAAAAGTACTATTTTTATAATTACCATAAAATAACCGTAGATGAACCTGGAACAATTATACTATAATTATTGTGCTCTAATACTTGAATGCCCTTATTTTTTTTAACACATTAATACACTATATAGTATATACTATCAAACATTCTAATTATAAGCAAATAACAGTAGTATTATTGATACCGATTAGAATAAAATTAGTAATAATAATAATTGGAGTTATTCCATTAATTAATAATCATAAAAACAAAAAATCCTCTACATCTCTATTTGCTCGTTCCACAGAACCTTGGCTCTGGCTGTGTCTTGGTTTACCATGAACAATTTTTACGTCTTCCCACATATTGTGTAGTTCAGTTATAGTCAAATTTACAAATTCACGGCCATTATCTGACTGCAAAATAGCCGGTGCGCCAAAGGTCGTGTAAATGTCAAGTAAATTATATGCAATCTCCTCTGCACGTTTACTTTTTAAAGGCCTTAAAATTACGAATTTCGTTAAATGGTCTTGATAACAAAAAATAAACCGAAAATCGTTAAAATGTTGGGACTGCATATCTATTAAATCTACTTGTGCTCTCGAGTTAAAAGCATTGTGTAATATTGGTTTGGAAACCAGTCCTCTTTTTCTATTAGTAGATTTCTTTTGGCAGTGTGAACAAAGTTGTAAATATAGCATAATTGTTTCCTTAGTTATATTACAATACTTATTTTTTATTTCCGCAACCATTCGATTTCTCCCACCGTGTCCAATAGATGAATGAGTAGTATGAAGAATATCAAAAAGCTCTTCATTTGATACATAATAAAGCATAATATTATTATTTTCTGATACTGGTTTTATCAATCGTTCTTTTCCATTAACCATTAATATTTCGTACTTGCGAATCATCCTGTAATCTTTTACCGATTTTTTTAATCCCTTAGTACTTAATATTTTTTTCGATTCTTTAACTTTAGAAATTTGGTCACTATACTCCGATAAACTAAAATAGGAATTATTGTCAGTCCGTTTTTGACTAATCAACTTATTAAATAAATCGTAGAATTTACTACGCATATTATCTACATCCATACTTAATATTTTATGTAAATAAAAAGTAAATATTTAAAAATGCAATAAAACGTGAACTGGCGAACTGCGAAATGTCGAACTAGCGAACTACGAATTGTCGAACTGTCGAACTGCAATTAAAGCGATATGAAACGAATACGTATACGAATATGTCTGCAACGAAACTGAAATACCTAAAATATGTTATGGGAAAAAATCCAATAAAACAAATTACCTACCTTTGAAAATTTGTTAGATAACCACTGCATTTTAACTTAGTTATCAGCTATACATACTAACGTAGTACCTAACGTGTGTAGATAGATAACTGACACTTAACAGTGACCCGTATGTTATAAATGTATAAAAATATATAATTTACAACAACGTCCAACAGAAGTTGGGAATTGACGTAAATAATAAAAAAATACCCATGTTTACAACATTAACCATTATGTATCGCCATTTACGTAAATTACCGGTCATTTACGTAAATTTAGATTGTACAAGGTAATTTTCGACATTGGCCGGGCTTTAACGTAAATATCATTATTTTCGTCATTGACCGTAACATATACACCAACAGACTGTTGTAATATCGGAACAAATATAAATTTAAGCTAACCCGTTGTCACAAAGGTTCTGTGTAGATTTTATTTAAAGTTGTTCAAACAGTCTAGTCTATTCAGAGGCTTATACAAAATCATATTTTAGAATATAGTATAATATACATATTAAATTCATATGATATTATCCTGTAAATAAAACCTTATCGTGTATACCGTTGTTATAATGGAATAATAAATTTATTATATTCTGTAATATGATCTATATTTATTAAATATTTAATGATATAGATAAAATCTAATTATTTAGTATAAAATTTAATTTTGCACCCCGTCACTTCTACAGAATCAAAAAAAAAAAAAAAATAAATAAATAAATATACGAAACGTGAGGTATAACTGTAAACACTAAAAGGTAGGTGTTACTTTTATCATTTTTTACTCTGTATAAAACTATGTATCGGTATTTTTAAAGTTTTCATAATTGTATCCACAATTAATACAAAACTGCGTATATATTGTTTCGTTTTCTCCGTCTAAAAATATATACGGATACGAAGCATTGAAATATATTAATATTAATATCGTTGTTGAAAAAATAACGACTTTTTCAGTCCTCCGAGACTACCGAGAGTCTAAAAACAAATCAAATTTAATGTTTTTAAAAACTATTATTAGATTATTTCTGTTTTTGTGGACCTTTATACATTTGTAAGACTTTAATAAAGTTACGTATATTGTGGATATTTGAAATAGTTAAATAACAAAATATCTAATTGTTTTACTTTTGTCTTTCAATTCAAGTTTATTTATTGGTGGAAGTTTTAGTTGACAAAGTGAAGGAAAACACGGAGTGTTAAGATTTGTGCATTCTCTTTTATTTTTACCTACTTATTTCGTCTTTGTGTTAATTTTCTTTAAAAGTGGCATAATCTCTTTCTTCTATTAAGACCATTTCACCGGTTCCGTGTACGTAACTTTTGTTAGGGGAGGGAGAGAATTAGTCCTATGGAAAAAACCATAACCATATCACCTAAGTATAAAAAATAGGCATTCTTACGTTTTTATAATACACTAAAATAAAAAGTTGTGTATAAAAGAATAATTTTTGGTGAAACTCAAGTCTTCCTAAATTCAAATACTTACAGTCATCGATTTTTTTTTTTTTTTAAATCATAAAATTATTATAATAATAAATATTGAGAATAATTTTGATTTCTTTTCAAGTTATCGTAGACCTATTTTAAAATATGATATGATGTGATTGTCAAATATTTGTGATTATTAAGTACAGTGTGGTAGCGTATTAACTAAATTTGGTTATAAATAAAATCGGATAATTAGATTGTCCAATTTAACAATAATCACACGGCTTACACGAAACACAACTATAACTGTATACTTTTACATTTACATTTTTAACCTGTATTCATATATATATATATATATATTTACAGTGGCGTATTTAGGTTTTTGTCATGGGGAGGGGGGATATGACTATATAAATGAAGATACCAATGAGAATATTCTACAATGTACTCATATTATAATATTTGAATTCTTGCAAATTTAATTAATTATTGATAAAAAAAAAAAAAAAAAAGATAATAATTTTTTAAATAATATGATGATTATAATTATTTATGTGTATACAGTCTATGGGGTGTATGTGTGTGTGTGTGTGTGTGTGTGTGTGGTCTATATGTATTCAGAATTAAATAAAGAGTGGTACAATCAGTGTTAGATAAATTGGTACGGTGGCTTAAAAAGAAAATCAAGGAATTTTTCTGTATTTGTTATTTACCTCTCACATTATTAAAGCAGCATAGGCAATCAGATAAAATACATAAATCTATATTGTATACTTTTTACATTGAAATAAACTTCTAGTAGTATCGTCATCGGCCGTGATTGTTTAGCTTAGTTTTATAAGTGTATGATGAACTATTTTGCTTGGTCAATTCACATACTAACTCTAGTTTGATTTATACTATTATACTGATAATTACCGCCATTGAGTATCAACTGTATACTCGTACGGCTTGGTTTATATCACGAAGTAGATAAAACATTTTATCTACAGTCAACATTGTGATTTTGGTTGTTGTATAAACATCTTTGATAGTGCAAAGTTTTTTTTATTTTGAAGGTTACACTACTGAATTTCACTATGATGGACTATACTGTTATAATATATATAAAAGGTGGATAAGTTAATGAAAATAATTAATTCAAGTTAAGTTAAAAGAACACAAGATTGATAAGTTAGAAATTAACCGTTAACTTGATAAGTTAAAATTTAACACGAAAAACAATATTAACTTAATTCTGTTCAAAAAAAGTTAATCTATTTATTTTTTCAACTAGTATGTAAATTACGTAGAGTGACTACGTCTTTCTAATTTACAAAATTATAAAAAACAATTTTACTAAACTTTTATCATAATACACATTGTAAAGTGTAAATACCCTTTTACTATACATGATATATTATTCATTTATTTAAACTATATATATATCTCAAATTAATAATTTAACAAATATTTTTTTATGTATAATTTAGCAATTGAAGGTAGTTTAACATTAAAATAATACAACTTATTATTTATAATTTTATTAAAACAGTTTTCAATATTCACTGCAAAAAGCTAAGTTCTTTCAACCGTTAATTAAACTCTTAAGTTCATAAGTTGATTAGAAAATGAACTAACTAGTTAAGTTAAAAAGTAAAAAAAAAATTAAGTTTTTAACTAGTTAATGCTCACTTTTGATGTATATTATATTACTTTATAATAATTTCAAGATTTGTATATAATAAATAAAATATGATTAAAATAGATTTTTTTAATTTATTTATTACAAAATGCAACGTATTAATCGTTTTTTTTATTATTGACAACTATTAAAAGTAACTACCCTGAATTCCTACCACATTTTGTTTCCACGTATTGATCAATGATTTTTAAATTTAAAAAATTGGCACCCAATCAAAATACTGCGCAGTGGAGAATATTACGTTTAACTCCAAACAGTCTGTTACATTTTATAGATTGTGCGTATAATATTGTAATATAATTTGTGAACGTTACTTTTAATAATATGTCGACAGTTTATAGAGCCCGTACACTTGAGACTCGAATCATACTAGTTACTTAATATATTGATAAGAAGCGATTTTAAAATTAAACGTGACACGCAGAGTGATACAGAGCAAATATTTTGAAACATACATACTATGAAACTTTTTAAATGTGATCTCGGTACAAAGTCGTTGGAAAACCATTCAGTTGTACTGTGTACAAGGCACCGTTTATAGGCGTAACTAGACTTCTTAAACGTAGGGTGCCAAAGACCCTTTTGCACCCCTTAGTTGCGCCACTGGCACCGTCGATTAAATGACAGACACGTACATTTTAACATAATATGGCAATATGGTCACATGTCATCGTGCCGTGGTAATATTGTACAACGATTTCCGCTGTACGATTTGAGAATTTTCAAGCTTTATAGACGTCTTGCATGGTATTTTGGTATATATATGTCATACATGGGTACACATTATACGATTACTTTTTAATAATAAACTAGCAAAGTTACTTCTCTCGAATCGACTAGGTAGATACGTTACTGATTTTATTTCACGAGTGAGTATCGTATAATGTACGCGCAGTCCGCACATTTATTGTGTCCCGGAAGAATAGAAACTATATAATATATACTTGAAGTTGAGCCAAATAACTTTCGAGTTGCGGAGCAATACGCGCTCGAAGACGAGTTTCTAAACATCGATCGTTTGTATTTTCTTTTTTTTTTTATATTTTTGTTTTTACGCGGATACCTTTGGTAGTTCGGTATGAGAATACGATAATGCGCAGTATTTATATATTAAATAGACGGTACCATTTGTATGAAACGAACGACCTTTACTACTCAACA